TAATAATAATGGTAGCCCACGCCTTAAAGAAATACAAAAATACACCTCACAGCTTACGAAGGGCTTTATCTATGCAAACAGTGTGTGATCTTATGTTTAAAAACGTTCAATGGAAAATGTCATGAAGACATTTCTGACCGTAGGTGTCTGGTTGGGATCCGGAAGGTAATGTGTATACAACAGAAACCTAAGTAAATAATAATAATAATAATAATAATGTTAACCTATGCCTTAAAGAAATACAAAAATACAGCTCACACATTACGAAGGGCTTTATCTATGTAAACAGTGTGTGATCTTATGTTTAAAAACGTTCAATGGAAAATGTCATGAAGCCATTTCTGAGCTTAGGTCTCTGGTTGGGACCCGGAAGGAAATGTGTATACAACAGAAACCCAAGCAAATAATAATAATAATAATTGTCATGTCCACTAGGAGCTGACATACTGCGCATCTCTGTTCGCGAGTGCCTAGGGAGCATCTTGGCTTGTTATCGTAAGGGGTGATATTTTTATTTAAAACATTGGACAAAAAAAGGCGAGTTAAGAGTCACGTCTAGATACTTGGGAACTCTCCCATTTTTGCTTTCTGCTTTTCTTTATTATATTTTTTAAACTATCTTCTTCAAATGGCTTCTGCCTTTAAATTCTAAACACGTCTTCTTCGCCCGTTAACTAGACAGTTGATTAATGTCTTGCCAAAACATGTCTCATGGTATACGATGTTAATGGCAGCACATTCCTGCAAGTCATTAAATCAATCGAGATTCACATGGATTGGAATGAGAACGAGCGAAGAATAGAAGTAGAGGTCTACGAAAATGATTTTCTTTTAGTTTTCCAGTCCTCTACAGGACAAGCAAACCCAGAGACATTAGAATTGGGTATTAAATTTGATTTTCTCTCCTTTCTTCAGTAACAGTTCTGTCGTTGTCTTGTCATATGTCCCAGTGAGCAGATAATGTTGTAAACTGGCAGTAATCGATGTAACAAGAAATGAAGCTCTTCTTTACGAGTCTTTTGGGTCTCTTTCGAACTAGCTGTCCATTTTAAATATTTATATATATATACAGTAGTTTTTATTAAAACATATTTTCATATTTAAGTGATCATATTTAAACAAAAATCTTATATAAAAATTTCAGTTATCTGTTTGGATTAGTTGTATCTCTTATGTCCATCGTCTTTTTCATGTTAAATTTTATATGTTCTAATGTTAATTATGTTTAAATGAAAATGTCCATGAAGATGGTCTTAAATAGACCGAAACGTCCGACGTTGACTTTATATTAACATTAATACAGCATAATTGCATATTAAGATTTTTGTTTGTTTTTTCTGTATATTTTTCTTCAGTATCTTATTTAATAATATTTTTTTACTTCTCAAGAGAGATATATATATACTATAAATTTATTTTTTTCTGAAGTACTTATTATATATATTTTCTATATACTATTTTTCACTATTATATCTTTCATCGCATTGCTCTTGCTTTTTCAAATAGTAAGAGAGTTAAGTTGTCCAAAATTTTTAAATGAAGCATTGCCAATTATCATTAGTTTTTGACTAGTATTTCTTTTATCTTATTTCTTTTGCTTTTATGTCAAGTACTAATAGTTTTATATTGTCTGAAACTCTTAAATTAATTAATACTTTTATTTCTTTCATCTTTTTTCTCTTGCTTTTCCAAAAAGTATCACGAGGCTTAAGTTGTCTGAATTTCATACATGAAGCATTATTATTCATTTCTTTCATCATATTTCTCTTGCTTTTTCACCAAGTAGAAATAGTCTGAAGTTGTTTGAATTTCTTAGATGAAGCATTCGTAATTATTAACGAGCAGCCATACCCAACAGTCCGATCAGAAAAAGCGTTCAATTAAAATGGAGCAAAAACAGTATCATGTCTAGATGTAACAGAGTCTATCTTCTTCAATTACTTTAAAGCACTTTCATTAAAGAAAATCATTTTGAATTAATGCAGTTACTGATATAAAAGAAGTAATCTGTATTTATTCAATCGAAGTTAGCTGAAGATATGAAGGGATAAAACAGGCAACATGAAGATCCACTTCAAGACCACAATTATTTTAGAGTTTTTGAAATTCAATTTGTCATTGTGCTACCAGGCATGTAAAAGAGGATTCATTTATAAATCAATTGTTAAGTTTAATGAAAACTGGTTGAAAGATCAACGAAAAATTTTAAAAAAAAACAATAAAAGTAGCCATTTTTCTCTATTTGCGCGGGTATCCATCATATGGGTGAGGTATCGTTGAGCTTGTCACGATGTAAGTAACCTACCTACCGAGTTTGAACGAAATCGAAGGAAAATTTGAATTTATCGATTTTTGATCGGCTTATTCCATTATTGATTTTTTTAAAAATTATCGATTTTTTTACCTATCACTATATTTTACAATGTATGTGCCAAGGTTGGTTAAAATGAGTTGGATGGATGTCGAGTAGAAAGGTATCACACAGACAAACAGACACACACACAGACATTCTCTGTTTTATATATATATATCGATTTTGGACTAGTATTTCTTTCATCTTACTTTTATCTTACTTTTAAACATCGTAGCAATAGTCTTAAATTGTCTGAATTTCTTAGATGAAGCATTGTTAATTATAATTCATTTTCTCCTCTTTTTTTTCACGCCATATTTTTTGTTTACACTCTTGTCTAATTGTACTTACGTTGTTACATATATTTAGTCTTCTTTTTCCTTTCATTCTATTCTTGTTGCTTTTTAAAATAACGCTCAGGTCGTTTTCTATTCTATTACCGTCAAGTAAGCATCACAGATTTTATTGGCTTATCGATATTATACTTTCTGTTGCGGATATAACGATTCGACCGATCCAGTCTACGATCCTCTTCAGGTGGACAATCAGTATGCAAGGTACTTTCTGTAATTGATTATCATTCCAAGTATTGTTCAGACAATTGAGTTTACTAAATATATGAGAGGCCATGGTAGTATCCGCTACCGGTACAGATATTTAGTAATAAATTTACAATAAAACGATAAAGACGGCTAAGGAGAAATCGGGCGAACGTGAAAGATATTCTTCCTTTTTTATTTTCTCGAAAGAGAACATGCTAAAAAAGTATAGAAATCTGTTACATGCCTTCTCCCTGACCCTGAAAATGAAAGTTATTGGTCGTTACAAATGCACACTATTTTCTCACACGTCTAGCACTTAAACTTACAAAAGGAGGTTTTTTAATCACAAGTTCTGGGACACATCTTCTCTTAGCAGTGTCTATTAGGGGACTGTCTCTGTACAGACTGGGTTTTGCTGATTCGTCGTTAAGGGTTACATGACTAGCTAAAGGCGATGTACTCGAATCGGGAAAGAAGAAGGAAAGTTAACTCAGCAGGACTATTGATTTCATTTTCTGTGTTTCTAATATTACTGTCATGACGTTTCGGTTGACTCATTCTTCATGCTCCTGGAAATTCGATAACCGCCTGGATATTTAAGCTACCGTTTCTTTACTGTTTACCGCCTGCCGCTGTACAGAAAGGAACTCTCTTTCTCCGTATGGATTGAGCGTTTGAATAACGAGGGACACAAAAGTAACACAATGAATAAACAAATCTTTGTTTGACAATGACTGTCTTTTAAAGTCATAGACAATATCTTATCATCTGTAATTATTGCCATTTCGTTGTATAAACACTTGAAATTTCTTTTTTTTTAACTTCTTTTAGTTTTCCATTCATTGTGAATTAAAACTAGGTCACAATAAAATCGACCTTTTTTTAAAGACTCCTGCCTTTTGACCCCGAATTAATCTAACACTCTTATGTCTAATTCTGGACTTATTTTGAATCCGTGGGTCCAATAGATCTTTTGTGGTGATGAGACAAAAGTCTTTACGCACAATGTCTTGGAGGACAATCTGTCAATGGGAAAAAGAATCCTCTCTCTTCGAATAAAAATTAACCTTTCGCAAATCATTCGTGCTGAGATTTTCAACAGACCACAGGGTGTGAAAATTAGAATTTGCTTTAAAATATGATAGAAAAATGGAAATGGTTGTTGGAATAGGCTGGAAAAGAATGGATGTCGAGGTGTAAAATAAAAGGTGAAATAGTAAAGGGGAGGAAGAAAGAGAAGGAAATTTATGACGAGTAAATGAATGAAAAAAAAAGAGATGAAAGAAAACTGCTTAATGAAATAAGGAAACATAAGAATAAGTGAAAAAATTACAGCAAAACGAAAGAAATAGGAAAAAAACGAATGAAAAATAAAATAATTTCATTAACAAATATATAGTTTGAAAAGAAAGAAACAAGCAAAACAGTAAGGAAGAAAAAGAAATAGAAGAAATTTAAAAAAAAAACAATATAATTACAAGAAAGAATGAAAAAAGAAAACGTCTATAATGAAAAATGACAATGACTCTTTTGAATATTATAGACAATATCTTAACATCTGCAATTATTGCAATTTTGTGGTATAAACACTAGAATCTTTTCATTAACTTCTCCTTTTAGTTTCCCATTCAATGTGGATTAAAACGAAGTCAAAATAAAATCGACCTTTTTGTAAATACATTATAATAATAAAAATATTTTTAAAAATACCCACAATACAATTTTATATTAAAAAATGACCAACAATACATTTTAAATGAAAAATGACCAACCATATATTTTATAGCAAAATGACCAGCAGTATATTTTTTAGCAAAATGACCAAAAATACATTTTATAGCAAAATGACTAAAAATACATTTTATAGCAAAATGACTAAAAATATATTTTATAGCAAAATGACCAAAAATATATTTTATAGCAAAATGACCAACAATATATTTTATTGCAAAATGACCAATAATGCATTTTATGGCAAAATAACCAAAAATACATTTTAAAGCAAAATGACCAGCAGTATATTTTATCTGTAGTTGAAGGCATGAATTGCGTTCAAAATATTTTGATTCCGGCATTAAATAACTCATGAAGATGTTGATATGCTTCTAAACAAAATGACCGTGGATTGGAAATGAAGAAAGAAATGGAGAGGAGTGAATGGCAAAGAAAGAAAGAAAGAAAGAAAGAAAGAAAGAAAAAGAAAGAAAGAAAGAAAGAAAGAAAGAAAAAAAAATGGTGAAAGGACTAAAGAGGATTGGAAAGAAAGAAAGAAAAAAGAAAGAAAAGAAAGAAAAGAATGAAAGAAAGAAAAGAAAGAAAGAAAAAATTTTATGGTGAAAGGACTAAAGTAAGACTACTGTAAGAAAAGGGGAGAAAATAGTACAGAAAAAGTAAGAAACTTCGATGTTAAAGAAAGAAAGAAAGAAAGAAAGAAAGAAAGAAAAGAAAAAGAAAAGAAAGAAAGAAAGAAAGAAAAGAAAGAAAGAAAAAGGAAAGAAAGAAAAGAAAGAAAGAAAGAAAAGAAAGAAATGGTAAGAAAGGATTGGAAAAGAAAGAAAGAAAAGAAAGAAACTTGAAAGAAAGAAAGAAAGAAAGAAAGAAAGAAAGAAAATTTTATGGTGAAAGTAAAAAAGTAAGACTACTGTAAGAAAGGGGAAAAAATTAAAAAAAGTAAGAAACTTCGATGTTAAAGAAAGAAAGAAAGAAAGAAAGAAAGAAAAGAAAGAAATTGTGGTGAAAGGAAAGAAAGAAAGAAAAAAAGAAAATTTTATGGAAAAAGGAGAAAGAAAGAAATGGTAAGAAAGGATTGGAAATGAAAAGAAAAGAAAGAAAAAAAGAAAGAAAAAAGAAAGAAGAAAGAAAGAAAGAAAGAAAGAAAGAAAGAAAGAAAGAAAGAAAGAAAGAAAGAAAGAAAGAAAGAAAATTTTATGGTGAAAGGACTAAAGTAAGACTACTGTAAGAAAGGGGGGAAAATAGTACAGAAAAAGTAAGAAACTTCGATGTTAAAGAAAGAAAGAAAGAAAGAAAGAAAGAAAGAAAGAAAGAAAGAAAGAAATTGAAAGAGGATTGGAAAGAAAGAAAGAAAGAAATGAAAATTTTATGGTGAGAGGATTGGAAAAAAAAAAAAAGAAAGAAAGAAATGGTGGGAGAAAATTGGAAATGAGGAAAGAAAAAAGAAAGAAAGAAAGAATGTTAAAGAAAGAAAAGAAAAGAAAGAAAAAAAAAAAGAAAGAAAATTTTATGGTGAAAGAAAGAAAGAAAGAAAATAAGAAAGGAAAAAGGACAAAAAAAGTAAGACTTCTGATGTTAAAGAAAGGGAAAGAAAGAAAAGAAAAAAGAAAGAAAAATAAGAAGGATTGGAAATGTTAAGGAAAGAAAAAAAGAAAGAAAGAAAGAAAAAATGAAAGAAAGAAAGAAAGAAAGAAAGAAAGTGGTGAAGGAAAGAAAGAAAGAAAAAGAAAGAAAGAAAGAAAAAAAAGAAAAAAGAAAGGAAAGAAAAGGAAAGAAAAAAGAAAGGATGAAAAAAGAAAGAAAGAAAGAAAAGAAAGAAAAAAAAAAGAAAATTTTGGTGAAAGTACTAAAAGTATGGAACTACTGAAATGAGGAAAGAAAAAAGAAAAAAGTAAGAAATTCGATGTTAAAGAAAGAAAGAAAGAAAGAAAGAAAACCAAACCGAAAAAGAAAGAAATCAATAAGCAGAGAAAAAAAAGACGAAATTCTGAAAATGGGCGATTTTGAGAATCGGATTGTTTGTCGTCATCAAGACAAGGTTTGTTTAACACCTAATTGTAATCACCTGCAGCGACTGTTTGCTCTGTACATGGCGACTGTCCGCCATTTTGTCCGTCTGTTTGTCTCAGACACGAATACAAATCAGAACAAGTAAAAATATCGACTTTACAGACTCCGCTTGGTGTTTTTTTTTTTTAATTTTCTGAAAGCTGTTCCTCTCAGAGATCAGTATGAATGGTTACACCCTCTCATACATACACACGGCTAATGGACCAAGGGTAGACCAACATGTTGCCGATAGAAAAATTTGAGGTTTTATTTTAAAAGCCCAATAGGTTAACGCATATATTTAATTTTAATAAAGTGTTTATTTCATGTTTCATCTGTTTTTACATATCTAAAATCTCTTCTTTTCTCACATTACAATAGACCCCCGCCCTTCTTTTCTCACATTACAATAGACCCCCACCCTTCTTTTCTCACATTACAATAGACCCCCGCCCTACTTGAGTCTTAGGAGCATACATTCAAGAAGATGGTACCGGGCATTACCAAACCTCTGCATGTCACTGGGCGAAAGGTGACAAATGGAACGCAATTTCAGAAAAGTAGTTATATTTTAAGAAAAGAAACGTTCAATACATTTCAAAAGTAATTTTTTTACTCAACAAACATAATTAAAAAAAAAAATTACAACAGACATTTTTCGACAGACGCCTCTGGACCCGTGTTCAGACATTGCCCTCTCTACGGCAATGCTTTTTTTAAGCAAATCGACCCAAGCAAGGTAGACGTGCCACTAGCACGCATGGGGTTTATAGAAAGTGAGAGTACGAGTAAAGAGGAGTGTTTCGGAAAAGGATAAAGAGAAGAACAGGGGTCAAGGTCAAGGCATCGGAAGATGTCGATTGACATTATATTTGAATATTTGAAGATTATAGCTATCAGGGAAGCAAGATGGCTACATTTAGCCATTTCGGCAGTGAAAGGGTGGGACCGAGATGCCAACCTAGTAATACGCTTAAATAAATGGGTCGAAGGACAAAGGGTCGAAAGACAAAAGGTCGAAGAACAAATGGTCGAAGAACAAATGGTCGAAGAACAAGGGGTCGAAGAACAAAGGGTCGAAAGACAAAAGGTCGAAGAACAAATGGTCAAAGGACAAAGTGTCGAAGAATAAAGGGCCGAAGGACAAAGGGTCGAAGGACAAAGGGTCGAAAGACAAAAGGTCAAAGAACAAATGGTCGATGGACAAAGAGTCGAAAGACAAAGTGTCGAAGGAAAAAGGGTCGAAGGACAAAAGGTCAAAGGACAAAGTGCTGAAAGACAAAGGGTCGAAAGATAAAAGGTCGAAGTACAAAGTGTTGAAGGATAAAATGACGAACGGACAAAACTTCGAACAAAGTGTCGAATGGACAAATTTTTCTTTTTTATGTGCCGTGTGTCTTCAAGACGTAGGCAATCATGGCCCTCCTCGACCTCCTCGACCTCCTGTCCCTTGTAGCTCTTAATAAGTTTTGTCCTTTTCTTATTTCTCCGAGACCCTGTTCTACCATCCATTTTCAACATTTGCGTTGCTACCCCCTGTCCCTCTTCTCCTCTCTCTGTCCTGTGCGTATCAGATTTTCCTAGACTTCCTTCCTCATTAATTTCAACTGCCTCTTCCTGATGTTAAGTATAAGTTTCTTTTTTGTTTCCATTCTCTCCAAAACTTCGTCGTTGCTCACATGTTCGGCCTATGGTATCCTTAGCATCCTTCTGTAGAACTACATTTCTGTGGCTATGAGTCTTCTTCATCTTTAAGAAGATTCTCCAGCATTCGCTGCCTTATAGGAGAACAGGAAAATTTCGTCGGAAAGAAAGAAAAGAGTGCCGAACTGATACTGTTGCGTGATATCTGTTCTATTAATACTCTGGAATACGTTTTTGGCCATCCCAATACATCTTCGGATTTCAGTGGCGCATTTTCCGTCCTCTGTTAGAACACTTCCCGGATATTTAAATCTCTGCACCTGATTGATTTTAGTATCTTCGTCCTGTAATTTGCTTTTTTCTACTGATAACCATGCATTCTGTCTTCTTGTATTTTATACTTAGTCCCTTCTTCTCGCTCTCCTTCGCTACCTTCTGTAGGCGGTTTTGTAGTTTCCTTTCCGTGTCTGCTATCAGCACTGTGTCATCTGCATATATTATTAAGATTGTGGTTTCCAATGATGAATGCTGGTAGGACTTCTACTTCTCTCAAAATCGCCATGCTGTATCGATTTAATAAGTCCGGTGAGAAGACACATCCTTGTCTTACAGCACTTTCTATTTTTGTATATCTGTTGAATTCATTTTTATCTGTATGCAGGCAGTTTGCTGCCAGTAGAGATTTTTGATTATTCTAATACCTTTCCGGAATACGTCAAGGTTACTGACATCTTCAGCTTGAAAATCACAGACATCATCTTTTCTTTGTTTCAGCCGAAATTCTAGCCATGGTTTTAGTTTGAAAAAAAGAAAGAAAGAAGCAAGCAAATGTTCAACTACAATAACTTGCCAAAGCAGTTTACACTCATCTTAATAAGATGGCATAGTCCCTACTTAGAAATGTGTATATTATCATGATTTTATCACAGATATTCATTGACCCAATAGTTTTGTGTGACTTTTTTTTCAACTTCAAGGTGTTTCAAGCAGTATATCTTGTTACATGGCACCTATGAAAATGCAACAACTTATTTTCCAATCTTTAAGGTTCACAAACATTACTGATAAAAGCATACTGCTAAATAATCTTAAGTTCATAATAAAATAAAGATATATAATAATCATTTCAGATAGTTTACCCAAAACCTTTGCATGTCAGTGGAACAGACTGATTAAAGGGGCCATGTTACTTGGTTTGAAAATCACAGTCATCATGCATTGTTGATTCCTTTTGTCTTTATTATATATATATATATATATATATATATATATATATATATATATATATATATATGTATGTATGTATGTATGTATATGTATATATATGTATATATATATAAATTATTTTTCGAAAAGACACAGAGAAACCACTGTCAAAACATAGCTTCACTGTGCCTTTTCTATAAATACTTTCATGATAATTGTTTTGATGAACATGCCTCTATGGTACCTAGATTAGTACTAGCTTGGTTGCAAGGTCTCATCATCTTACAATTGAGCAGCTCTAACAGGTCTTTGTGGCGTACTTTGTCGAACGACTTTGCATAGTCTATAAAACACAGGTACATGTCCTTCTGCAATTGTATTAATCTTTCTAATAATATTCTAAGCAGCGTTCCTTGTTCTTTGATGAACCCCCGTTCCTGTCTTATCGATGGCTTGATTCTGCTGTGCGCTTTATTCAGCAAAATTCGGATGATAAGTTTTTATGATGTGGTTCATTCGGCAGTGATTGTTCGGTGGAGTTCACCTTCGTTTGCGCCTGGTTTCTTAGGCAGTGCTATGAATACATCCCCGTTGTTGCAGATTTCCAACATAATTACAAAAACTACAATTGTTTAGAGTCTGTCTATATTTCTGAGATGAGTTATTATGTACATTATTTACATTATTCGGACTATTGTCCTCATCTTTGTCGCCATATTTATTACAACGTTTCGGCCTTTCAGTACCTGTCTATATTTCTGAGATGAGTTATTATGTACATTATTTACATTATTCGTACTATTGTCCTCATCTTTGTCGCCATATTTATTACAACGTTTCGGCCTTTCAGTACCTGTCTATATTTCTGAGATGAGTTATTATGTACATTATTTACATTATTCGGACTATTGTCCTCATCTTTGTCGCCATATTTATTACAACGTTTCGGCCTTTCAGTACCTGTCTATATTTCTGAGATGAGTTATTATGTACATTATTTACATTATTCGGACTATTGTCCTCATCTTTGTCGCCATATTTATTACAACGTTTCGGCCTTTCAGTACCAGTCTATATTTCTGAGATGAGTTATTATGTACATTATTTACATTATTCGGACTATTGTCCTCATCTTTGTCGCCATATTTATTACAACGTTTCGGCCTTTCAGTACCTGTCTATATTTCTGAGATGAGTTATTATGTACATTATTTACATTATTCGGACTATTGTCCTCATCTTTGTCGCCATATTTATTACAACGTTTCGGCCTTTCAGTACCTGTCTATATTTCTGAGATGAGTTATTATGTACATTATTTACATTATTCGGACTATTGTCCTCATCTTTGTCGCCATATTTATTACAACGTTTCGGATTTTCAGTACCTGTCTATATTTCTGAGATGAGTTATTATGTACATTATTTACATTATTCGGACTATTGTCCTCATCTTTGTCGCCATATTTATTACAACGTTTCGGCCTTTCAGTACCTGTCTATATTTCTGAGATGAGTTATTATGTACATTATTTACATTATTCGGACTATTGTCCTCATCTTTGTCGCCATATTTATTACAACGTTTCGGCCTTTCAGTACCTGTCTATATTTCTGAGATGAGTTATTATGTACATTATTTACATTATTCGGACTATTGTCCTCATCTTTGTCGCCATATTTTTTACAACGTTTCGGCCTTTCAGTACCTTTCTATATTTCTGAGATGAGTTATTATGTACATTATTTACATTATTCGGACTATTGTCCTCATATTTGTCGCCATATTTATTACAACGTTTCGACCTTTCAGTATCTGTCTATATTTCTGAGATGAGTTATTATGTACATTATTTACATTATTCGGACTATTGTCCTCATCTTTGTCGCCATATTTATTACAACATTTCGGCCTTTCAGTACCTGTCTATATTTCTGAGATGAGTTATTATGTACATTATTTACATTATTCGTACTATTGTCCTCATTTTGTCGCCATATTTATTACAACGTTTCGGCCTTTCAGTACCTGTCTATATTTCTGAGATGAGTTATTATGTACATTATTTACATTATTCGGACTATTGTCCTCATCTTTGTCGCCATATTTATTACAACGTTTCGGCCTTTTTCAGTACCTGTCTATATTTCTGAGATAAGTTATTATGTACATTATTTACATTATTCGGACTATTGTCCTCATCTTTGTCGCCATATTTATTACAACGTTTCGGCCTTTCAGTACCTGTCTATATTTCTGAGATGAGTTATTATGTACATTATTTACATTATTCGTACTATTTCATCTTTGTCGCCATATTTATTACAACGTTTCGGCCTTTCAGTACCTGTCTATATTTCTGAGATGAGGTAATATGTACATTATTTACATTATTCGGACTATTGTCCTCATCTTTGTCGCCATATTTATTACAACGTTTCGGCCTTTCAGTACCTTTCTATATTTCTGAGATGAGTTATTATGTACATTATTTACATTATTCGGACTATTGTCCTCATATTTGTCGCCATATTTATTACAACGTTTCGACCTTTCAGTATCTGTCTATATTTCTGAGATGAGTTATTATGTACATTATTTACATTATTCGGACTATTGTCCTCATCTTTGTCGCCATATTTATTACAACGTTTCGGCCTTTCAGTACCTGTCTATATTTCTGAGATGAGTTATTATGTACATTATTTACATTATTCGGACTATTGTCCTCATCTTTGTCGCCATATTTATTACAACGTTTCGGCCTTTCAGTACCTGTCTATATTTCTGAGATGAGTTATTATGTACATTATTTACATTATTTGGACTATTGTCCTCATCTTTGTCGCCATATTTATTACAACGTTTCGGCCTTTCAGTACCTGTCTATATTTCTGAGATGAGTTATTATGTACATTATTTACATTATTCGGACTATTGTCCCTCATCTTTGTCGCCATATTTATTACAACGTTTCGGCCTTTCAGTACCTGTCTATATTTCTGAGATGAGTTATTATGTACATTATTTACATTATTCGGACTATTGTCCTCATCTTTGTCGCCATATTTATTACAAAGTTTCGGCCTTTCCGTATCTGTCTATATTTCTGAGATGAGGTATTATGTACATTATTTACATTATTCGGACTAATGTCCTCATCTTTGTCGCAATATTTATTACAACGTTTCGGCCGTTGTACGCTCCGGCCTTCTTCAGGTGGTTGGAATGTAGAACTGAACCCTTTACTTCGCTCACTGGGGTAGACTGTTCTAGTTCCACGTGCCATGTTTAATGGATGTCGGTTATCTGTTATCTCCTGTTAATTTTCCCTCTGAAAGTTCTCCACTGCCTTAACCGGGTATTGAACTCACACTCTTTGGGTCCTGTCACTGGATCTAACCAACGCCTTTATCCACTGTGCCATGTGTCCTTGAGGGTTCAGTTCGACATTCCAACCACCTGAAGAAAGCCGGAGCGTACAACACGCTACATAAGAGGTCTCATGTTTCAAAACAAGAGTCTAAAACTTCAATATAATTACTTGAATTAAATTGAATTAAAGTAAGCTCTGTTCCATCTTCAAGCGAAATTTTTTTTTGGAATAACTTATTTCTGAAATTTACGTGTTTTAATAGCATATTCATAATTGAAATCAAAATTTCCATGGTAACAGCCAGGGCGATTGTTTAAATAGGGAGGTGCGTTGGGTGTTAATAATATGTATCAGTATCAGTTACATTCATAGATGTCAAGTCAGGGTAAGGTAGGGGTGTCTAAATTTAAAACGGAAGATGTTTTCGCCCAGTCTGGTTTACGTGTCTATGGAGATTTATTTATTTTTTTATTTTATTTCTTTATGAAAGGGTTTTGTGTATATAAAACTGCCGTATATATATATATATATATATATATATATATATATATATATATATATATATTACGATAAACGTGCAATCAATTTACAAAATACATGAATTATTCACACAAAAAATAATTCAAATAGTATACGGAGGTTTTTGTATATTATTTGAATTGTTTGTGATGATGGATGTCTCGCCATTTACATCATTAACCTTTTGCATTAGTTTTTGTGTGAATAATTATGTATATATATATATATATATATATATATATTTATATATATATATATATATATATATATATATATGCGCACTCCCAATAATAGTTATTATTTAATTTTCGAGTATAATACGCACTTGTTGTAGTATTACAAATCTGATAACTTTGCGTATTATAATTAATCTAGTCAGAGATCTAGGATTGAGACTAAGATGTTTTGCTGAATTTAAATGCTTAAAGTTTGTTAAATAGTTATCGTTTAAGAATTGTGGAGAGTGTTGTTGGCGATGGAGGCGTGATGATTTTTATCTCTGAGATGTAAGAAGTGCCTTACACGAAGTAATGGAGGAGGAGGCGGGAGATTGGGTGGAGTTGGCGTGGGCAGAGGTGGGAAGATATTTTTCAATTGCATTTTAATAGACACGGTTGCGTGATTCGTTCTTTAGTGATTCCACTAAAATTTTCATTCGAAAGACACGTTTGGTAGCGGATTTACCGTTGCCATTGTTGGAGACATGTTTATTTTGTGATCTCATCAATTGAAGATGAAAATATACCAATCTAATATATATATATATATATTTTTTTTTTTGGCAAATTTAAACTTTTAGTTTAGATGTTTTATATTAGCCTCTTTGATCTTCCCTCCTTCTCCTTTCCTCTTTTATATGTATGCTTCTTTTTCTTCCTCTCTCTATCCGTTTTCTTTTAGCTTTCTATTTCGTTTCCTTATCTTCTTTCTTTCTTTCTTTCTTTCTTGTTCTTTTACTTCTTTCTATCCCTTTTCTTCTCCTTTCCTTTCCTTTTCTTCTTCTTTTACTTCTTCTTCTTTCCCTTCTTTTTCTGATTCTTCTCTTTTTTTTCTTTCTTTTCTTTTCTTTCTTGTCCTCCTAATTTCTATTTCTTTTCCTTATCTTTTTCATCTTTCTTTCTTTCTTTCTTTCTTTCTTGTTCTTTTACTTCTTTCTATCCCTTTTTTTCTCCTTTCCCTTCCTTTTCTTCTTCTTTTACTTCTTCTTCTTTCCCTTCTTTTTCTGATTCTTCTCTTTTTTCTTTCTTTTCTTTTCTTTCTTGTCCTCCTAATTTCTATTTCCTTTCCTTATCTTTTTCATCTTTCTTTCTTTCTTCTTCTTTTACTGCTTTCTATTCCAATTCTTCTCCTTTCAATGCTTTTTCTTCTTCTTCTTCTTCTTCTTCTTCTTCTTCTTCTTCTTCTTCTTCTTCTTTTTCTGCTGCTGCTGCTGCTGCTGCGGCTGCTGCTGCTGCATCATTTCGTTCTTTCTTTCTATTTAGGTTTCTTTTCCTTTTCTTTCTTGTTCTACGTATTTGTATTCCTTTTCGTCCGCTTTCACTGCCTTTCATCCTTGTTCTTATTCCTTTTTCTCTTTTATGCATGTTCTTATATTTCTTTCTATTCCTTTTCTTATCCATTCTGTTCCTTTTCTTCTTTTTCTTTTTCTTTTTCTTCTTCTTCTTCTTCTTCTCGTTCCTCTTTTTCTGCAATTGGTTTAAATACTTGTTCCTTTTCTTCAATTATTTTCACTTGTGCATAAGTGTGACAGCAGGGCGATTGCTCTCCAAGCGCTTATCAGTCACGAGAGAGAGATAGAGATAGAGATAGATATGAACAAATTCAGATAGATAGATAGGTATTAACAAGCTTAGATAGATATGAAAAAACTCAGATAGATATGAAAAAACTCAGATAGATAGATAGATATGAACAGACTAAGATAGATAGATAGATAGATAGATAGATAGATAGATAGATATGAAAAAACTCAGATATATATGAAAAAACTCAGATAGATAGATATGAACAGACTAAGATAGATAGATAGATAGATAGATAGATAGATAGATAGATAGATAGATAGATATGAAAAAAACTCAGATAGGTATGAAAAAAACACAGATAGGTAGATATGAACAGACTGAGATAGATATGAACAGACTAAGATAGATAGATAGATAGATAGATATGAAAAAACTCAGATAGGTATGAAAAAACAGATAGGTATGAAAAAAGATAGGTAGATATGAACAGACTGAGATAGATATGAACAGACTAAGATAGATAGATAGATAGATAGATAGATAGATAGATAGATAGATAGATATGAAAAAACTCAGATAGGTATGAAAAAACACAGATAGGTAGATATGAACAGACTGAGATAGATATGAACAGACTAAGATAGATAGATAGATAGATAGATAGATAGATAGATATGAACAGGCTGAGAAATAGATGGTCTCTCCTCCCATTTCTTTTCTTACGGTTTTCTCTGTTTCTCTCTCTCTCTCTCTTTCTCTCTCTCTCTCTTTCTCTCTCTCTCTCTCGTTCTCTCTCTCTCTCTCTCGCTCTCTTTTTATATTTTTAAATGCTTTCGTTCATACTTTTTTTTTCTTTTTTGCCTTTCAAACTATTTCCTTTCTCTTAGTCATGTTTCGCTTTTCCTATTCAGCGATTTTTGTTTTCTATTCTTTATCACAAAAAAAAGCCCAAATTTCTGGCTAATGTTATAAATCGAGTTCCGAAAACAATCCGAGCGTGTCAAACGTGACGCACTGACGAAATTCTTCATTTCGCGCAGAAGAATTTCCAGAAAGTAAAACAAAATCCCGACAAAAAATCCAAACTGAGGATCATTTTTGATTCTGTCTTTCACGCGCACACGTCCGTACACACACACACGTATTCATTAAAGAAAATGCTTCAAGAAGTTCGTAGCCTGACACGAGGTTATGACTCGAATGTTGACCTGAAATTATCAGTATATGAAATTTTATCCTTGTGTTTTAGACTTCTTATTAATATTCCACATAATGAGGAAAGAGGGTTTCGAAAATCTGAAACTCACAGGACATGTTGAAGGCAAGAGGGACGTAGGTAAATTGTGTATAACCTACCTAAAGAGATGGCAGAACAGTGTTTGAACGAGAAAACAAAAAGACAAAATTTATTAAAATCTACAAAGGTGAGGAAGTTGTGGAGAGCCATGATTTTTTATCTCCTGAAGGCGTAGAAGAAGAAAAGCGAGATTTAGTAAATGGATTATAGAACCAGGGTTTAGGAGAGATAATAAAAGACAAAATTTATTGAAATCTACAAAGGGCAGGAAATTGTGGAGAGCCATGTTTGCTTATCTCCTGAAAGGACACGACACAAAACGGGATGGCAGGACAGGGTTTAGTAGAGGTAACAAAAAGACAAAATTTATTAAGAGCTACAAAGCACAGGAAATAGTGGAGAGCCATGACCGGCAAAATATGGAAGGGGCAAGTAATATAGAAGGAGAATGAACTTGAGTAAATGTGTTGAGGAACAAGATTTAGGTGACATAAGAAAAAGATGACATTTATTAAGATCTACAAAAGACTGGAAATTGTGGAGAGCCATGACCGGCAAATTATGAAAGGGACAAGTAACATAGAAGGAGAATGAACTTGAGTAAATGTGTTGAGGAACAAGATTTAGGTGACATAAGAAAAAGATGACATTTATTAAGATCTACAAAAGACTGGAAATTGTGGAGAGCCATCAACATACACGTCCTGTAGGGGCAGGGTACTTAAAAGAAAAAAAATTTAGCCTGGATTTCAGAACTGGATTTGCGATAGATAACAAAAAAAAAAATACACAAGATTTATTAAGAGCTACAAAGGACAGGAAATTGTGGAGAGTCATGATCCTCAACGCCCTAACATATTGAACATTAACATTCATCACTAATCAAATGTCAAAATTATTATCAAATATAATAGATATTTTTTTTAATAAAATAAATGATTTTATCATCATTAAGCGACAGATTTATTGACCTACCAAAATAAATGTCTGCAAATGTGGGCTTTTTACTTGTATGCATGACGTATATTTAATATTTCGTACAAATATATATATATATATATATATATATATATATATATATATATATATATATAAATATTTAATGAAATATATATATATATATATATATATATATATATATAATATTACTTGATGATTAGTAGTGAATCATTACAGAATCATTAAAAAATCCATTCGATCAGGTGATAATTTATTTCGTGGACATCAAATGTCCATCACTTCAGACCAGTTTTACATAAATAAATGGAGTTCAATTTATTCAGACACGAGGAAAAAGGGAAAAAAAAGAAAAAAGGCAAGAAGAGAGAGAAAAGGAGAAAAGGGAAAAGTTTTAATACTAAAAGTGGAAAGAAAAAGGGGGAGAGAGGCAGAGATTTCAACATAAGGTTTTATAGTGGGGAGAGAAAGAGAGATAGACATGGGGAGAGAAAGGGAGAGAAAGTCTGAGTATATATATATATATATATATATATAAGGCTAAGTGGAAAAATTATCCGCACTTTCGTCATAACATATCTTTAAGTTTGTCACACTGCCTTCTGTACATACATGCTTATTGTTGGTACTATTGTGGTCACGTGATCAAAGTTTTAAACTTGATCGCGCCAATTTTCTTGCTGCTGTTACAGTGTAAACATAGCCGCTCCCTTGGCAGTGTGCACCAAGGTGGAACAAAGAGCAGTGATCTGATTACTCTGAAGGTGTATCATCCGAGGCTTTTAACAGAATACGGCGACAGTGCACTGCCTCGTAGAAGTGGATATGAGTGAATCGAAAACTTTAAAAAGGGGCTGGACAAGAGTGACACACAAAGGAGAAGCATAGCTCATCCTCAGACTCTACCACTGACGAAAAGATTCAGCAAACTCGAGTGACGGTAATGGCGAACGGGCGTGTTTTCAAAGTTATCGCTTGCCCCCATTTAACAACTGATTGGAAGTCATTTCCGAGAGCAGAAATTTTTCTGTGTCGGATCTGTCAGATTTTCTACTAAGGCAGAAGTAAATAAATAATATGCGTCATCAGAATAAATACCTAGTTGAAAACTGATGACATCAGGAAGGCCGTTGATGAAGATAAGAAACAACGTAGGTCCGTGGATAGAGCTCTGGGAGGACCCCCGCATTAATGTGAACTGATCTAGAAGCATGGTTGTTCTTTGGTACAGTGCACTGTGACAGAGAGAGTCTGGAAAACACACACACACACACGTATATTTTTTTAGTGAAATTGAAGTGGATTTGAACAGCGAAATTAGAGCATTTTTGTTTACTGATGGTAAAACCTGATCTAGGGCAGAAGTACCCATTGAATCTGGGTCATTAGTGGACAATGGAAATGGTCGAATTATTTTTTGTTTATTAAAACTTGGAATAGAGCTGAGTAAGCAAGGAGGACCTTTAGAATTCACATGATTTTGGTTGAAACAGCCAAAACCCCGTGATAATCACGTGCGAAGTAGTAGGGTCATGGTTCAGTTGTAACCAGCCGGATTTTTCTATATAAACGCGTAGTTATGCTGAAAAAGAAGTAGACGGAAGAGGCAGACGGAGGAGAGAGACGGAAGGGAGAGAGATACAGAAGAGAATTAGCCCGTGCAAGAGTTGGGCTAGAGACAGTGGAGAGTCGAGTTGGAGACTCAAGAAGGAGAGAAAGTGACGTCAGAGATCGGAACGAAGCGTCTGCTAACATGTGCTGTTGATATAAGTAAGGCTGCTTCTGCTACCATGAATGTTGTGCCGCTGGGGAGGAACGCCACTATAAACTTTAAGCCGCAGACAGAAATCTAATTCCCCCATCGCAAGAGTCGTATATCGTTCTGAGACGATTTAACAACAAGTTAAACATAACACACACACACACACTCTCTCTCTCTCTCTCTCTCTCTCTCTCTCTCTTTCTCTGTCTTGTGGATGAATTAGTTTCTGCACGACTTTTTACAGTGAACTAAAGAATATAAAACAAACATTTATTAATAATAGCTTTCCAAACTATATAGTTGATGAACAAATAAGATGCTTTCTTAGAAATCTCAATAATAAGCAAATTGTACATAATACTGCTTCTACTGATCTCAAATATATTAATCTCCTATATCGTAATCAAATGCATACTAATTATAAACAAGATGAAAATATACTAAAATAAATAGTAAATACTAATATATCTACAACAGATCCTAGCAAAAAATTAAGTTAATCATATACTACACTAAATCTAGTATATCCAACTCAATTATTCGCAATGATTCTTCTCCCCCGGTATCTATTTGCAAAAAAAAAAAACAATATAATTTACAAATTCAAGTGCCCTTTGGGAGATTGTATCTCCAACAAATTAAATAATATTTATATTGGTCACACCACAAACTCGCTTTCGCGATGCTTGACACTACACTTGAATGAAAACTCTAACATTTTTAGGCATTTAAAACAACATGCCTGGCCGCATACACAATTCCGGAAAATCCCTGTTGAAAACACAATTATACTTAAACATGAAAACAAAATAAACAAAAACAAAAAATTATTGAAGCTGTACACATAAAACAGTTGAAACCTAACCTGAACAAAATAAACTATGAAGTCTCCACAAATATTCTTAAATGTCTATAATTGGTAACAGAAGCCATTGGTTTATACTAACAGCTTCCGATACTTAATACTTCTCGAATTCACTCTCGCGTGGTCATGTGTGACGTCATAGAAAATATACGTCTTAAAAATAGTAAAATCGACCTTACTAACCGAAACGCTTCTTTGTGGCTCAATCGGTAAAGCACGTCAGGCTATATGATGTTTCGTGTAGGATACAGGTTCGATTCCTGCCGGTTGACGCGTATTTTCTATGAATATTTCTCGGATATTCAGGCCGGAAAATGTCGTTAAATCCGTTTATTATAAACAGAGCATTTACTTACATATTTGTATCTATGAAAAGAACGTATAAACATAAAACATGTCTTAAAATATATATATATATATCAAAAAAACTCACATAAAAAAAGTTTTAATCAGATTCACCGAGGCAAGGCAGTAAATCAACTAAGACAGAAGGTTTTACTGGCTGGGGAAAAATTAGAGGATAGAGGTTATTACTACGTACGTCTAGCCGACTCAAGAGTAAATAGATGAGATCTCGACTGCGCTTAAATTGATAAAGTCTAGGTACCATAACTCATCCGAACAATTGCCATGAAAACATTTATCAAAAAGGCACAGGGAAGTAATTTTTACGGTGATGGGAAAGTGACTGAAGTCGATATGCTTGGTCACGACCAATAATATTGCCGATTCTATCTATGGTTTTTATCAAGAATCATGTCTATATATATATATATATATATATATATATATATATGCATATATATATTATACATATATATAGATAAATA